GGGGATATATAAATAAAACTCTGTAAAATTGAAGTGGAAGACCACCAACCATTTTAGGTTAAGGGCCCTTTACAAATTTGAAAGGGTCCAGTCTTTCGTATAGAAATGTGGAAAGGTCATGTAAAACAACCGAACGACGATAATAGTCTAGCAGTTGGGTAATGTTAGTACTAAATGGAAAAGTAGTCAAGAGGGAACATATGTGTGTTACTAGTCGACACTAAGACATACTTTGGCCAACAGTGAGTCTGTACACACATTTATATCGTAAGGTCAAAGATGGACAACGAATTCCCGGTATCTCTTCTGAAAAGCGCTAAGAACACAATACAGTTGCAAAAATCAAAACATACAAAATAAACCAAATGAAACGACAAGCCAAGAGGACAGTAACAGGAGGAAACAAAACAGACCAGGAAGGGACACAAAAAAAAAAGGAGGACAGCAATCAAAGGGACCACACAGATTAACAAGACTCACACAAGGGACAACGGGAACACAAAGAGGAGGGGACGGGCCGACAAAGAGCAGAGCACTAATGGGGAGGGACATAAATCAGAACAGAGAAGGACACAAGTCACGACCAAGCAGAAAAGAACCACTACTCAAAGTGACCTCAAACAAAGACAAAGCCTCAAATTAAGAATAGGAACTTTATTTCCACTAATAGTATAATAGACGTAAAACCCCCAGACGAACGAAGTGAGATGTCATTGTCTTGGTTGGTGGTTTCTACCCGTGTCGTCTAGGTAAAACTCGTCCTTAATAACCTAAAAAGGAAAGAGAAACCCGAATGACGAGACAGCTACCTCCCCTCGCAGGCCCCAAGTCGTCGCTCTACGACGAGACCGTCTCCGCGCGGTCCTTACGAATGCCTCTTTTGGTAGAAACCACTTTAAGAAATGGACCACCTAAGAACTTAAGGAGAAGAACACATACTAAGGCCGGATGATCCGGGTCCGTACGATCGAGGGACGGAGGGTTAAGGGTTGGACTAAAGGGGTCGTCGGCTACCAAAACCGGGGCCAAGACCAAAGGGTCCGTCGGTACCAAGGTCTGGGTCAAAAAAATACCGTGGGTCCGTCGGTACCAAGGCGGGTCAAGACCGGGGTCGCCGTACAAGGTCTGGGTACAAGACAGGGGGTCCGTCGGTACCAGGCCCGGGGTCAAGACCTGGGCGCGTACCCAGGGAGGAGATCAGGGAGGAGATCCAGGGAAGAGTTCAGGGAAGAGTTCAGGGAGGAGGGTCAGGGAGAGATCAGGTTTGAGTTCAGGGAAGAGATCGAGGGAAGAGATCAAGGGTAGAGCTCAGGCGAGAAGATCAGCGGTTTGAGTTCAGGGAATGAGTTCAAGGGATGAGATCAGGGGTTTGGAGTAGGTTCAGAAGAGTTTTAGGGAGAGTTCTATAGAGGTTCGAAATGCAGGATTGCAAGGCCAGGGGGACCCCATGTGAGCCAAAACTTGAACAAACATATGATTCTGAAAAATTGACAGACCCAACAAAATATAAAGAGGCAGTGGGAAGTTTAATTTACTTGTCCAAATGAACTAGACCAGATATAGGTTTTGTGGTCAGTAACCAACAGAGGAACATTGGAACACAGTAAAACATGTGTTCAGATATCTAAAAGGCACAACAGAACAGGAGTTATGCGAGAAATGACAGAGAGGCACTAGGTCTAAAAGTGTACTGTGATGCTGACTGGGCATCAGATGCAATAGGCGTAGCACATCAGGATATTGTGTCAGTCTAAGTAAAGGAAGCTCTCTGATCTCATGGAAAACAAAGAAACAACCAACAGTGGCATTATCCACCTGTGAGGCAGAATATGTCTTTAGCATCAGCTATACAAGAATGTATCTATCTGTACCAGTATGCACAAACAAAGGTGTACGAGGACAACCAAGGTACTATAGCCCTTGCCAAAAACCCAGTAAACAGGAAAAGGAGCAAACACATTGATATTAATTACCATTTCATTAGGGAAACTGTAAATAACAGAAAGTTTACTTTGGAGTACTGCCCTAGAGTTAATGATTGCTGATGCCATGACCAAGTCAGCTACAAAGCTACAACTAAAGAGGTTTGCTCAAGACATGTTTGGCACTTAAAAGTGCACGAGTGTATTCAAATTGTTAAGGCAAAAGAGAAGCCTTGTTATGTTGTGTTAAGTATTATTACTTTGTAATAGCACCCTTACTCTATGTTTAATAGTAAGTCCCGTTTGTGACGTCATAAGCATGATAAGCGCCGAGCTTGTCTCATGTTGATTACGCAGCACAGGCATGCTGGTTCATGTCCCTGAATAAATGGATGAGAGAAGAAAGATGACTTCGCATACTTTATTGATTTAATAGAAATCCTCAGAAATCTCAAACCACAGGTGTCCTGCAGTTCTACGTAATGGTTTGGCATGAAAGGTTAAATATATCAAATAGCACTTGCTTGCCTTTGTTGGGATTCAGTTTCCTTACTCTTTGTGCCAGCTTTGGTTGACCCATTTCCTGTGGCCTGATTTTCAGTTGTCATGGTGAAGCCAAAGCATACTGAAAGAAAATGGGGGTGATTTGCCTGGAACACAGATTAACGAACTTTACCTGATGAGATTTTGCTAAATGGTGTTTATTTGTTCTACAGTTAAAAAGTTAATGGTGGGTCCCAACACAAAGGAGTGAACTAAGCTGGAGCCCTGTCACGTAGGCGGTGGTTGAGGCTCAAACAGAACATAAATCCAAGTTCTTTATAGTTATCTGATAATCAAATGTAGTCATTGACTATTAAAAAAAACAACGTAGCCTTATCCTACAGGCTGACATTTGGAGTTGCTGAATATATCATAGCGATAGCCTGTATAAGAAACGTTTAGGGAAGATCTGTGTTCACAATAGTAAAGGGAACAATCATTTAGGGAAAGCTTAGCTTCTATAGTCTTCATTACCAGCCACACCTTGGCTTCAGAAAAAGATCAATTCTGAATAACTGGCTGACACACAATTAAATTAAAGGGTATGGGAAAAACTTTTGTTCTTGTTGATTCTGAGTCACATTAGAAAATCGATACCACTCTGTCTACATGTTGAATATGTTGCTGGAGCCAGCAACCTTTAGCACAAAGACTAAAAACTAAGGGAAAAAAGCTTGTCTGGCTAGGTAAAAAGCCAACAAAATGTGCCAAAAAAACACCTTTAAATTCCCTACAGGTTACAGATAGTCAGGCTAGCCCTTTCAAGTCTTCATGCTAAGCTAACTTAGCTAGTTGCTAGCTTAACTTTGTTATTGACTGGACAAGCATGTTTGTTATCAATCCTCTCATGTAACTCTCAGCAAGAAAGCCAAATAATATATGTTTTTCTCCAAACCGTCAAACTATTCTTCTAAAGGTTACAAATGTAAAATTGTGGCTCTCGGCGCAAATGTCGAGGGTGAAATGTGTTTTGTGTTGTCTAACATGCTGATTTATTGGAGTCCTCCTCAATGAGGTGTTGTTAATGTTGTCACAAAACTTCACAGATGGGTCACGGTGAAAAAGCATGGTGACATCAAATGAGTTCAAATGAGCCTGGGGGCCAGAGTTGGCACGCTGGGGGCTGGAATGCACCTCCCTCACATTTGAATTTGACCAATGCTGGAGCAGCACCATCAGCACACTGGGGGGATGGGTAGGACACCCAGAGAGACCTTCCATTTTCCAAGAACTGCAGTTGTTGGCGGGGAAAAGAGAAAAAAAAACTTCCCGCACTAACATTTTCTCCTCCCCTCCTCTTAGCTGTGACGCATGAAGGTAATGAGCTAGAAGCATGGCGTAGTTTGAGCATTTGCACATTTTGAGCAATAAAAACAATGTAGACACAGTGTTGTACCAAATATAATATACAGCACAAGAGTTGTTAACCCAGTGTTGGCTTAACAATATTCAGTAATAACAAAAAGGCATTAAAAATACATATCTTTTTACATTTCCTACCCCACAATTTACTGCAAGTAGTAGGCTGAGGAGCAGTAGTTTAACTCCGTCTGCCTGCTTAAAAAGTATGAAGACAAGGTACTTTAGATAATGGCATAAAAATGATATGCATACAGTCAGGCAGAGACAAGGGTAATCTTTTAAATTGGCAGAAAGCACGTAAAACATGTGGCACAGACCACCCAGGAGCAGGGTGGGGAGAGGCATGTCTCTTCATCAATGTCAGTCTTTGCCACTTGTGCACAATCCCCAGTCTCCAGTATGTCTCTAGAGCTTAAAATCTTCAACACTTGAAGTTGAGTTAATTAAAGCTGCCTCAAAACCTTGATGTGAGCCGAGTAGGCTTTCCTCCTCAGTACTGGCCCCACCATCCCCGCTCTCCACCTCTCTCCCTCTCTCTTCCTCCTTCCCCTCCCTCCTCTCTCCTCTCCACCCCCTTTTCCCACTCTCCCCTCTTCCCCTCTCCCCCTCCTTCCCCCT